ATGTAATCGCCTAGGCGGTCAGGACTAGAACTGCAGGCTTGCAGAAGATAAAAAGGTATGTATAAAAAAAAAAAAATTCCAACTTCTTTTCACAGGGACTATCTAATAAGGCCAATTTGTAAAAATGTGTGGAACTCCGCTTTAAAATAAATTGTGCAATCAACCAGTACTCTCAGCTGACAAAGATAGCATTTTACCATCACTTCCAATTGATGAGATGACGCACTGGGGTCTAATATGAGCAGATATTAACCAGCAAGCCTAGTTACATATATATGTGATCTGCCTGCTTCCGTGTTTTGGGCATGCATGCACGTCCCCTGCCTCCCCATGCTGTGATTGGATACAGCAAGAGTTTGGCAGCTGATTTCAGCCAATGATTTTGGCTGAAGTTAGCTGATTGGCTGTGTCCAATCACACACAGATTTCTGTGTTTACAAAATGCTGTGTACAGATAACAGCCACATAGTGTAGTGCAAAATAAGTACACATTATACATTGTTAGGCACACTGTTAACCCTTTAATTGCCCCTAGATTATAACCCCTTCCCAGCCAGTGTCATTAGTACAGTAACAGTATATTGGTGTCACCCTAATGTCAGTATCAGTTAGTGTACCCTCCAGCCGGCATCAGCTAGCACTAGATTGGCTGCCACACTATCACAGTCTCACTATAAGTTGCTTTTCACTGCAATTACCAGTATAACGTCATAGCTGTGTAAATTTCAGTATACAGTACTCAATATCTCAATGAACACAATAACTATTTACAAACGTTTGACAAAACTGAGATTTATAGAACATTTGTTTAGCTCATTACATAAAAATAAGGATAATAATATAACTTAGATTACAAAATCTTCAGCTTTAGTCAAATTAGTTGATGCAAAAATGAATACACCCCACAACAAAAATTACTACATCTAGTATTTTGTATGACCTCCATGATATGTAAGGACAGCACCAAGTCTTCTAGCCATGGAATAAACAAGTTGGCGACAGACTGTAACATCGATCTTTTTCCATTCTTCAAGAACGACCTCTTTCAGAGCCTGGGTGCTGGATGGAGAGTGAAGCTCAACTTGTCCCTTCAGAATTCCCCATAGGTGTTTGATTGGGTTCAGATCAGGAGACATACTTGGCCACTAAATCACTTTCACCCTGTTCTTCTTCAGAAATGTTACAGTGGCTTTAGATGTGTGCTTTGGATCATTGTCACGTAGGAAATGTGCACAACGACCGAAGGCATGGAGTGATGGTAGCATCTTCTCTTTCATCTATCTGTGAATTCATGATAGCATCAATGAAATGTAGCTCCTCAACACCAGCAGCACTCATGCAGCCCCACAGAAGGACACTGCCGCCACCATGTTTCATGGTAGGCACCAGGCATTTATCTTTGTACTCCTCACCTTTGCAATGCCATACAGCTTTGAAGCCATCAGTTTCAAAAACATTTATCTTGGTCTCATCACTCCAGAGTACAGAGTCCCAGTAGTCTTCATCTTTTTCAACATGGCAAATTCTAGGTGGGCTTTTCTGTGCATGGGCTTTAGAACTTGCTTCGTGGATGACACCCATGCATGCCATTCCTCTGCAGTGTACACCATATTGTGTCATGGCAAACAATCACCCCAGTTTGACTTCCTACTTCTTTAGCTAACTGCAGTGAACTTGCATGGTGATTTTCTTTAATCCTTCTCATCAGCAGACACTCCTGTCAAGGTGTTAAGGTGTTAACTACCATGAATGGCCTGGACATCTCTGTGAGATGTTTGCAGTTCCATCTTTGTTACATCTTTGTATCACTTTTTCTACAGTATTCTGACTGATTAGTTAAGCTTTCCTGATCTTCTTGTAACCTTCACCTTTTTTATGTAAAGCAATTATTTCCTTTCTCAGGCCTTGTGACATTTCTCTTCCATGTGGTGTGATTGCTGACAGCATGAAATGGAAGGGGTTTTCTTTGTTAAGTAACACCCTTTTATAATCAGCTGTCTGCTGGACACCTGTTTAATGAATAATTAGACTCACCTGTAGTTGAATTCTTGTCAATTAGGATGTTGTTGTCTAAAATTTAACTTTGATCCTAAGACTTTCATTGGGGTGTATACATTTTTGCAACATGGTCTTCTTGAATGAATCTGTTAGGGAAAATACTTTTTTATGTGTGCAAATTAACAAATCTTGTTTGCAATCAATGGGCCACATTTGTGGGAGTATTTTGTAGTATAGTGTTCCATACAGAATGTTGATTCTGAAAGGAAAGGAAAGGCTTTCTGACAAATCTGTTGGGGTCTACTCAGTTATGCTGAGTACTGTATATAACATCGTTTGTACACAAACCAATTAATATACACTTATTGGGATTTTTTTTTTTAGCAAAGACTTGTAACAGAAAACTTTTTGGCCTAAATTTTATGTAGAGAATACTGTTTTTTCCCCAAAAATTTTAGGTCTTTTTGCATTTTATATGATAAAGAAATTTAAAAAACTCAATGGAAATCAAATACCACCAAAGGAAAGCTCTATTTGTGTTGAAAACAAATGACATAAATTTAATTTGGGTACACTGTTGCATGACCGTGCAATTGCCAGTTAAAAAAGAAGAGCAAAAAAAGTTCTGGTCATGAAGGGGGAAACCTTCTGGAAGTCAAGTGGTTAAAAAGACACATCAATCATTTTTAAACAGACTCCAATAGGCTAAACAATCACATCTAACTGATCACAAATAAATTGTAAGAAAAGCTAAAGTCCAGCTCCAACCAAAATATATTTAGTTTTGGATAGAGTGGGAAAGGGTTAGAGCCTCTGCCTGTTTTTTATTGCCATCTTTCTCTGTTGGGGAGATTTCCCCTCGCTTCTTTTCTGCAAGGAGAGTTTTTGGGAATTCTCTCAAATGATTAAAAAAATTGTACTTTAGGCCCCTTTCACATTAGCGTACCAATGGGGTCTGACTGTCCGTCTATCAGGTAGACCCGATTGGACCTTCCAGTCTTCTCTATGGAGCCGCAAATGTAAATGAACATGTGTCCATTTACACCCGCCTACATCCAATCCTATCTGCTATAAACAGTCAGGGATGTGGTGTCCCCACCTGTCTAGCGGATCGGTAGACAGTCGGGTGTAAATGGCCAGACAGTTCATTTTACATCCGACTGCCCACAGTCTGTGTCTACCTAAGTGGAGTGGACAGGAATCTGTCATCCACCTGCTCAGCAGGGATCGGCAGACATATAACCCGTTGAGCAGGTGGATCTGCTGGTGCAGTCATGTGAAAGGGGCCTTAGAATTAGATGTTGGAGAATGGTTTGATTGCTGCCTTTGTCTTCCTGCTTTCTGCATCTCTTTTATGGGTGTCAGTGGTACAGGAAGTGATGGAAAATCTTTTTGATGGGGTTACAAACAGACAACAAAGAAATGTTAACTGTTAAATGTTAACCATGCCTACCCTACATTAAAGATGCTCTTTTCATTCTGTGAGCTAGCTAAACACCTTCAGCACCAACTTAACCACTTACCAACCACGCTATAGCCGAAAGATGGCTACAGCGTGGTTGTCCAGTTCTGGGAGGGCGTCCATGGACGTCCTCCCAGAGCGCGCCCCCTGCGTGTCCCCAGTGGCGCACACCCGGCGCTGTCGGTGATGAGGTAAAAGGCCAATCACAGCGGCCTTTTACCACGTGATCAGATGTGTCCAATGACATAGCAGATCACAATGTAAATACAGTTGCCGGTTATCGGCTACACTTTCCTCTTGCTGTCACAGCGCGAGGAAAGTACTGCCAATAACCGGCAAATGTGACAGGGGAGACCTGCCCTGATTATCAGTGCTGCCCAGCAGTGCCCAGGAATGCTGCCCAGCAGTGCTCAGCAGTGTCACCCATCAATGCCCAGCTGTGAAACCCATCAGTGCTCAGCAGTGATGCCATCAGTATCATCCATCAATGCTGCCCAGCAGTGCCACCCATCAGTGCCCATCAGTGCCGCCTGTCAGAGCCAACAGTTCCACCCATTAGTGCCGTCTGTCAGTGCCTCCAGTCGGTGCTATCGGTCACTGTTGCCCATCAGTGCCGCCTATCAGTGCTCATCAGTGATGCCTCTTAGTACCCATCATTGCTGAATATCAGTGCATCATCAGTGCCTCCTCATCAATGCCCACCAGTGCCTCCTAATCAGCGCCGCCTCATCAGTGCTACCTATCAGTGCTGCCTCATCAGTGCTGCCTATCAGTGCCCATCAGTGCTGCATATCAGTGCAGCCTCATCAACGCACATCAGTGAAAGAGAAAAATTACCTGTTAGCAAAATATTATAATAGAAACAAAGAAAACCTTTTTTCAAAATTTTTGCTCTTTTCCTATTTACAGTGCAAAAAATAAAAACCCCAGTGGCGATTAAATACCACCAAAAGAAAACTTTATTTGTGTGAAAAAAATGCTAAAAATGTCATATGGGTACAATGTTACATGACCGCGCAATTGTCATTCAAATTGCAACAGCACTTAAAGCTGAAAATCGGCCTGGGCAGGAAGGTGGTAAAAGTGCCCTGTATGCAAGGGGTTAAAGTGCATTAGACATGTTAGGATGGTAAAAATGTGCAATGCAGTAATGCCTAATGGGCTTAAAGTGGTAGTAAACCACAGTAAAGGGGAAAACAAAAGTCCCCTGCAATTTAATGTCATCGCATACTAGCACATTATGTAAAACTTACCTTAAAACAAAGCCCTCCAGTGGTGTGCTGTCACCGCTGTAGAGGCTTTCATCTTCACCATCTTCCTTCCGGGGTCGCAAGCTTCGGCCACCTGACAGGCCAGACAGTGATGACGTCCCTTCCGTGCATGAGTGTGGGAGTCCAGGCCACGGCACACAGCTCTGAAGGAACGGCACAGATAAGCCGTTCCTTCAGAGCGCAAGCACCGGCTTAAAGAACAGAGAGAATATCTCCTAAATGGTGCACATTTAGGATATATTCATTTTACCTACAGGTTAGCTCAGGGGCGGACTGACAACTCATGGGGCCCCCGGGCAATAGGGGATCATGGGGCCCCTGTGTCCTTGCCCAAACTCAAAAAAGCCTATGAAAAAGGTACCAGGGACATCTCATGGGGCCCCCTACTGGTCAGTCTGCCCCTGGTAAGCTTTATTATAAGCTTACCTGTAGGTAACATTTTTTAAAAAGAGTTTACTATCACTTTAAATGAAAGCACTATTAAAGTGTAAACGCAAATTTCAAATTACTACACTATCTTAAAATTGCATTTAATATATGTGAATGATTACATAAAAAAATGACATAACCTCATTAGTCGCCATTAGTAACCTCATTAGTCTGGACCACAGCATATCTAAAGACTTTTGTATGACAGTCTGAACGAGTACCAAATCCAGTTACTAAGTGATACACAAACCTCATAAAGTTATCAAAAATGTCCTTTGCCTTCTCTGACTCAGCCAAATCCTCCTTAAAGCGGAGTTCCACCTGAAAAAAAAAAGTCAGCAGCTACAAAAACTGTGGCTGCTGAATTTCAAACTACAGCCACTTACCTGTCCCTCGGTCCAGCGGTGTCCTCACCACCGCAGGTTTCACCAGCCGTCTTCTCTCCCTGGCGCCGGCATCTTCAGTGTGCGCACCCGGCTGTGACAGCTTGCGGCTTCACAGCCGGGTGCCCACTGCGCATGCGCGAGAAGCACTGTGCTTTGTGAATGGCCCCGTAGTCTTCTGGGACCTGTCATGTGTCCCAGAAGACTACAGGGAGGGAGGGGGTGGACAACTTCCACTTCTGATCGCCTAGGCAATCGCAGCCTAGGAGTAGGTACCTGTCAAATTCGGGTACCCGCTCCCCAAAGGTGCCAATTAGTAATGGGGAGTGGGGGACAAAGGCTTGAAGCGGAACTTCCCCTAAATTTGTGTCTCATATTCTCCCCTTTGCTGACACTGCAGATCACAGTGGGAGGGTTTCAGCAACAGAGACAGTGCTGTCAATCCAGAAAGCAGTGGGCAGGACTAGGTGTGGCCAGGTAGTGAGTGGCATATTATAGTCTTGTGAATCAGCGATGACAATGCCAATAGCCATGCAACATTTTTTTTTATCTTACTGTAGTGCAAGCAAGAACAGACTACATGTGTGTGCTCTGAATCCAGAATCAGATCAGTATGGTTGGTAAACCATCACAAGAAGCTGCATTTTGTGGACTTCCCTGAGAAGGTTATGGGAAGTCTTCATTCTACTTTAAGACACTGTTGATGAAAAGAAAGAAATATTCTACTATTTGCTATGAGAATACGGCCATTTTTTCAGCTACCAATATATTATTTTTCCTACATGACCCCACCTTATCTGGCTATTCTGTTTTCTGAGAACTGAATCCAGAGGCTAGGCGCTCACAATACTTGACATTCCGTCATCTCTAAAAATGAACTCAGCGATCAGTCACTGATCACGGGTGGCCAATTTAAACCGAAATCAGGTTGCGTTCCCAGAAACACATCTGCCCCAAACAACCTTTAACCCCTGATTGCCTTTAAATTGATCAAATTTCCACATCTACATAAAATCAATATTTCACTTTATTTCACTACCAGTCTCAGCTGTTCTTTAAGAGCCGGAAAGAATGACTATGACAGATATTTGCTAATAAGTAATTGTGCTTCCAATGGCTCTGTAATTACCACTGAGTTTGTTTACAGTAGGTAAATGTATCTATTGGGCAGTAATGGGACAAGTGTTTTACAAAAAGTCTAATTGTACACAATACATGTGCCTTTCTTTTTACCCTGTAAATGCTAATCATTTTTTTTGGTATCTTTTATTAGACAGCATTTTATGTAGCCCTTGATAGTAATTTACTTCTGTTATTGGATTATTTTATTTATTTCAGGTACTTGTATAGCGCCGTCAATTTACGCAGCGCTTTACATATATATTGTACATTCCCATCAGTCCCTAACCCTCAAGGGGCGTACAATCTAAGGTCCCTTGAATTCTGATCCCTAAATATTGTGGAGTCTCCATGCAGTTGGTTGGAGCATCCCATTATGTTCATTTTTGTCAAGCTGATGACAGGGCGTTCTGAAGAAGTACAACAGAACAGTTGTTTTGTCCCATGCAGGCGCCCAGTGTGTTTTTGTGTCTTTGTCAAGGCGCCAAATGGGGTCACAGTGACCTGTAGTTACATAGGGGCCAGAGAAAGGGTCTGCAGATTGCAGTAGAAGCAAGAAGATCAGGCATCTGACACTTCCAGAAGTGTGTCAAGTTCTAGAAGTTCTTTAATGGGCTTAACTCCTAAAGACAGTGAAGTTAGGAATTACAGTCTGCCAGAGAGATAAGTATTAACTGTCTTTATTTGCCAGGGCATTATTCACATTTTTATGCCATCTCTTCATAGTCCTGCACCCCTGAGTTACGATATGTGACAAATGTTTTTGCAAAATTACTGGTCTCACCCTGCAGTGCTCTATGTTGTCAGAGCTGAATCATAGCCACACCCCTCAGCACAAGTGTCTTCACACAGACTTGTATTAAGCTAGCCATAGGCGGAGCAATTTTCTTTCCTACAACCATGGGTTACAGGAAAGAAAATTGCTTGATTCCCCCCATCAACACAGTCAGTTTTGATTGGGGAATCCCTCCTACAGGACCATTGTGTTCTCCAGCGGGAAGGAGGGGGGGGGGGCAGGGGGAGCCATCCCCGCCGTAAGAACACAGTGATTACTGCTAGTGGTTATAATATCCATTAGCAATAATCGCATATAAAATCCGACAGGCTGGTTGTATCCAAGTTGATCGATCAATACACGCCCATGCTGCCCATACACGGTTCAAATCTCAGCCAGTTCAGCAAGGACCGGACAAGATTCGAACCATCAATGGCTGGCTTTACAGAAATGAGGAGAATGTGTTTTTGAACAGGTCTGTTACCTTATTCAGTCTGCTACCAACGAAATTGAACAGTCATTTATATAACTGATATAAATATGTGGAGGTAAAAATTTGAAAATGAAGATTATCTAGTATGTCTGTCTGGCTGCATATTTTTCTGTGACTTCAATTGGGCTTTCATAGAATGTTCTAGCAGTAGAGTTATCAGATGACTCCCCATTTACAGGAAAGGAATGGAGTAGTTTCTGAGACACTTGAGCAATGGTGCTAAATAGGTGCAGTGTGTTTCTCTCATTGCTTACATGTGATGACATCATTGTTGCATTAGAGCTAATTACCAATTGGCATGTTCTGAGCTAAATAAAGTTTATTATCAGGTCACTCCACCAGGTCACTCCATTTCACACAGGGGTACCTTTCTTGTGTACTCGCCCGTCAATGTCCGCGACCAGGACAGGGCGCATCGATGTGCAAGTCAACATTAAGGCGGAACCCCAACACAATATGTAGTGGCAAATGTACAGAGTTCTTCTGTGAAACACTCGATGCCATGTCCCATGTAGACACCTTTGTTTGATGATTGTTGCATTTAAAAGGGGCACTGCTGAGCCCATACTCTGCTCCACCAGACCAGAATACCTCTGCCACCTCACTACTGGCAAATTGGGATCCTGCTGTGCACCAGCACGGACCTCATGCGTGCCCATAAATAACATCTCTCTCCCATACCATGCGGCTGGATATATGGGTTCTTCATACAACAGGTTTGGTCCCGGTATTTTTGGGAACTGCCGCTAAGGTGGAAGGTAGTCACATGACTGTGATGACACTCCTTGGGCAGAACCATTTGATGAGTGCCAAGACCAGAAGTGACATGGTAGCCACGGCCCTGCTGTCTGTCATTCTAAGCTGTATTTCTTTTCCTGAATGTAAGTGCAATATTGTTGAATAAAAACCCCTTTTTTAACTTACTGCACCGTGAGGATATCCTGTCTTTTAAAAGCTTGATTGCAGAGCAAACCCTGAAAATTTAAAGGGCCATACACTCAGAAATTGGACCAGTGTGTATGCTCAGAAGTACCAGTGGTAACAAGATTTTACAGTGGAATGGAGCCTGTGATTCCCCCCCCCCCCCCCCCCAGTGTGGGGAAAGCATTTTTGGCCTGGTTGCATACAGGTCACATCTGATGGTGAGTGCATATATGAATGGTAGTGGGAGTCACTGAGCATGGATTAAGGAGTAATAACACAAATGGTGGATTTTAATTTTAAATTCATTGCAAGAAGGAATACTCTTTGAAGATTTTTACACTTATGAACCAGACTTTATCTATTATATTAGTGGTAGGTTCCTGTGAGGAAGAGCTTTGCTGGTTACTTATGGCTGGTTACATGTTCCTGCACGGACTGTTTAGCATGCTACCATGTGGTCCTCCAGGCTCTGGACAACTTCAGACCCAGCATTCCTCCAAAAGGCGCAGGAAACTGATAGACCAAGCATCAACCCTTTCACACCTGGGCAGCCCAAATTCATTATCTAATAACAGTCCAACTTGTAGACACCTGCCTACAGGTAGATATTGGTGACTTAAATCAGTCAGCAGTTTCCCGATGATCACAGCAGCAAAGAATCCCTGCAGAATTCCCCAAATATCTCCAGAAGCTGAAACCCTTAGTCTCCTCCATTCACACTACTACTAACTGAAAGTTGCTCGACTTGCAGTGTGACTTTGCCAGGTGACTTGAGTACTACTCTGCAGCAACTTTCAGGGAATGCCTGGATAATCTTCCTGTAATGTCGGATCCAAATCACATCAATATAGATGAGGATCTGACTTGGAGGCAACTTCTATTAACCACTTGCCGTCCGCCTGCTGTTTATAAACGGCAGGGCGGTGGCACTCCAGGGGCGGGTTGCCGTTCATAAACGGCACCCGCCATTTCTAGCTCCCAGGGAGCGCGCAGCACCGCGATCCGGTGCCCGCTGTGTCCTCCGGACACAGTGAAATACCGTTCGTCGGACGGGACCTCTGTACGAGGTCCCAATCATGTGATCACTGATAGGCCAATCAGTGATCACATGCAAAGTAGTAAGCAAGATGTCACTTGTGACATCATTGCTTACTACGTGTGAAATCTGTGAATGATCACAGAGGTCACATGGTACAAAGCTATTCACAACAGCCTTGTACCATGTGACAAGCTGTGACCAATCACAGCTCACACAGTAGTTCTCAATGGCTGCAAGAATGCAGACAGAAAGAAAGAGAAATGATTGCTTTTACATCCTATATGGGTGTAAAAGCAATCACTGTAAAAAAAAAAAAAAAAAAAAATCTTCATCACCCCCCACAAGTAGTACAGTGTCACCATGATGACACTGTACTGCTAGGGTGACAGTATGGAAAAAAAATTAAAATAAATAATAATATAAAAAAATAAAAATGTAAAAAAAAGTTTAAAAATTATAATTTTTGGTTATAAACTAATTTGGCTTATTTTTTTTTTTTTACTAAAAAGATAACGGAATACATTTCAGCCAAGATTTATGATGAAAGATTATTTATTTGCAAAATTTTATAAGAAAATCAAATTTTTCAAAATTTTTGGACATTTTCATTTACATAGCAAAAAAAAATAAAAATCCCAGTAGTGAATAAATACCACCAAAATAAAGCTTTATCCGTCTCAAAAAAATGGTAAAAAATTCATATGGGTACAGTGTTGCATGACCGCGCACTTGTCATTCAAAGTGTGATAGCGCTGAAAGCTGAAAATTGCCCTGGACAGGAAGGGGGTAAAAGTGTCCAGACAGGAAGTGGTTAAATGGGCACAAGTCGGATAGAAGTCACCTTGAAGTAGTACAGGAACCTTTTATAAAGTCAGAGCAACTTCAGTAGTGCTAATTAAGACGGCTCTCATTGACTAACATGGGATTTCACAGTCATGATCCCAAGTAGCGGCAGTGTGAACCGAGCCTCAATAATCATATCATATCACAGAGACACAAAAAAGTAAAATAAACTATTGAGCCTCAAGCCGTTAGGACTCACCTAAAACTGACATTACCATTGTGCTTGGATTGACCTTTAAGTGACTATTAAAAACAAATTAGATGATTTTTCTTTTTTTCAGTTTTTTTTTTTACGACAGCTGCACTGCAATTATTTATCCATTACCCTAGTTATGCAATTAAAAATGTTTACTTCTAATTAATGTATTAAATAAGCCACTCCAAAGTCATTTTAGAGCTCCTGTGCCATATGCTTAGTGCTTGTTACAGGTTCCGTTTTGTAAAGTCTGATTTCTCTTTCCATCTCGATTCCAGTAATGCTTTTAGTCCCTAATCAGCATCTGCTCACGTTTAAGATAAATTATGATCATTTACTGGAGTTGCTGCTATGAGATATTTCGTATTTTAGTGGCTTCGGTAAGATGTCAGGATGTCCAAATGAAAAACAAACTATCTTGAAAAAAAAAACCCCATAACATCGTTATCTCTCAGCTCTGAGCCGACATTTAATAAGAGGAAAGAGGATTCTGCTTGTATTGTTACACACAAGAAAAACGCTGTGCTGACAGAGTGCTTATTGTGCATGTAGAGCTGGGGAATAGGTCAATTAGGCTGCTTTTGTGTGTGTGTGTGTCCACGCTTCTGAAATAACTTTTGTTTTATGAAGTATGCACGAACGTAGCCTCAGTGTGTGCAATATAAGTGCTTGAGTATTCAACGTGCAGTAAGCAACTCCGGCCAAATTGTTATTTATTTTTTATGTTTTAGAACAGGGAAGGAGATTGGAACCCCTGTCAACTTTTAACCACTTGCCCTCCAGAGGATTTACCATCCTTCCCGACCAGGCCATTTTTTTCAATACGGCGCTACGCTAGTTTAACTGACAATTGCGCAGTCATGCAATGCTGTACATAAATGAAATGTATGTCCTTTTTTCCCACATTTAGAGCTTTCTTTCGGTGGTATTTGATCACCTGTGCGTTTGTGCGTTTTTAATTTTTTGCACTATAAACAAAAAAAAAGACAATTTTGAATAAAAAAAACAATATTTTTTACTTTTTGCATAAAAACATATCCAGTAAAAAAAAAAAAAAAAAAAAATATCTAATTTCTTCATACATTTAGGCCAAAATGTATTTTTTTTTTAATTTTATACTAGTAATGGTGGCGATCAGCAACTTATAGCGGGACTGCGGAGGGCATTCTGACACTGGGGGGAAAACTGACTAACTGCCACTGACATCCCCAATGACACTAATACAGTGATCAGTGCTAATAAAAAGCACTGACCAGGGGCGGACTGACCATTTGGAAACTCGAGCACTGCCCGAGGGCCTGGGGTCAGTAGGGGGCCCCATGAGATGCCCCTGGTACCTTTTTCATAGGCTTTTTTGAGTTTTGGCAAGGACACAGGGGCCCCATGATCCCCTATTGCCCGGGGGCCCCATGAGTTGTCAGTCCGCCCCTGGGTTAGGGGTATATGAGTCTTGTATATCAGTCCGCCCCTGGCACTGACACTGTACGAATGACACTGGGCAGAAAGGGGTTAACATCTGGGTGATCAAAGGGTTAACTGTGTGCGGTGTGTGTTTTACTAGGGAGACATGCTGTTTTTTACCTCTCTGCTGTGCAGAGCAATACACATCAGCATGTTACTGCTAGCAGGAGAGAGACCTGTGTTGTTTACACACAGGTCTCTCCCCTGTCAGTGATACTCGGCAATTGCCAGGTGCCAGTGGGGAATCTCAAGCCAGGACCCGGTGATCGACATCTGTAGCCACCAATGGCGGCGGCGCGGGTATGGCGGCACGCGCTCCTCCCTACCCTAAAATGCGAAATCACGTATATATGTGTGATTTTGTGCAGCCCTGCCGCCCTGTAGCACTACTTCTGCTAAAGGGCGGTCAGGAAGTGGTTAATTACTATCTTCTGTGTCACCTAAATCCCTGGGTATCTGACGGAATAGTAAGTCAGGGGAAACCTCCCACTTCCTGGCTTTTTAACTTTATACACCAGACAGAACAGGAAGTGAGGGGATATCCTCCTGATGGGAGCAATAATATCAATTACAACAAATTTACTGACAATAAGTCCTCATGCACACTGGACGCTTTGATAACACAGGTAACATTAGCTGTGCAAAGTCAAGTTAAAAACATGAGTTTTTCAGCTTTTTTTTAGCATTTTTACATTAGAGTTTAGAGGCGTTTTGCCACGATTAGCTGCATTTTCCCGTGTTTTTCCATGTTCATGTTTTTTAGCGTTTTTTGACCAAAACAAAATTAGGGGGGGTCTAAAAAACGTCTAAAAATGGCGGTTTGCAACGATTTACCACATTTTGGTACGTTTTTCAGCTTTTTTCAGCATTAGAGCATTTTTACAGCTAAAAAAACTCTAGAAACCCACTAGTCCTAAGTTTTTTTTCCAGCCAAAAAATGTCCTAGCCAAAAAACGTTGATTACAATCTATGTGTGCATGGACACATAGGATAACATGCTGGGGAGTTTACTAGCTGTAGAAAAAAATGTCAAAAGCCAAAAACAGCAGCTGTAAAAACGTCCAGTGTGCATGAGGGCTAAAGGTTCATACAGAACACAAAGCAAAGGGAAATTCCACCAATGTGGCTATGGACTATATTATAATGTTTTTCTGTCTGGTTTTTATTGCTGTCTGTGTCCTTATTAATACTATCCAAAATAATTTCTATGAATTTATTAAAGCGATCACATCACAGCAGTAAGGTGAGATGTTTTGAGGCAATTCAGGACCCCTTCATTAATCATGTGTATTTACTGCTGCAATGTGATCACGTTAATACATTCTTAGATGTTATAAAGATCCATGGTGTGCCGATGTTATATATTTTGAATTGTGTTGACACAGATTCTCAGCTGATAGTTGCTACAGCACCCACTTGTTTCAGTCTGGGTTCACAGTTATGTAGTGCAGGACACCGCATGCAATTCGCACAGGACTTGCACCACATTCCTGTGCGAATAACATGCAATGTCTGTGCGGTGTGATTTGAGCCATACAGTTTGTACGGCTCAAATTGCATCGCATCTGCACCAAAAAGGTGCAGGACCCTTTTTTTTTACAAACACTTGAATTGCATCGCATGGGTGTTCTCACCCATGCAATGCGATTTCTGGCAATCGCATCACGTTTTGCGATCTGCTTCGGGGTGTCATTAATTTAACATTAATCCCCACACCAGATCGCATGAATGTGGTGCGGGAAACACACAGGATTCGCAGCATTTCCCTCACCGCATTAGTGTGAACCCAAACTCATGCCATTCTAGAAACGTGTGGTGGGAATATTCTACTTGACTTACTAGGGGTATTTGCCCTTGCTTCCTGTGCAGATGATGGCTGTCAGACAGTATAAGAAGCAAGAAAAAAACTTCTACTTCCTGTCTATTTAACTGGTGTCAGATAGAATAGGACATGAGGAGAAACTGCCAACTCCTTGTCATTTTTAAAGGGGTATTGTGACATGGGGGTTAGTTAGCTCAGTGGTAGATATGTTGTTTACTGAAGTCCATAAGCGGAACTGTGATCAATGGTAGCCCTTGTTTATTAAAAAGTCAGAAAACAAAACAAACATCCAACATAAAGTCTCCAACAGGGGTTCTTCTCCAGCAAAATACAAATGAAAATGCTAGCCCACCTGGCTACACTTGTCTGACCACCTCAGACCACCAGCTATTTCATACACACAGCAGTTCTTGTCTGTTAATTCACCAGATTTATTTTTATATATATATATATATATTTATGTTTTATTTAAATATATAAAATATATATATATATAAATAAATCAATCTGGTGAATTAACAGACAAGTACCCACACAGCTTTGAGCTTCTTGGAAGCACACAGCCTCAAGCCCTTTGACGCACACAGTGACTATTTCTGCACAGAGATTCTTTCTCAATAGCAACAGCAACTCCAACTCCCCTCCACCTGAAACTCTCAGCACACCATCAGTATAAGGGCTGTGTATACCTGGGCACACACCCTGCTTGTTGTCCACAAAACCTGGACAATGGATTGGAGATCTCTTCCCTCCCAAAGCACTTTAAAATCTCCAAACTTTGGCGCCCCATCTGAAAATATCAAAATCTGGAGAAATTTGCAAAAGCAGTTTTTTCTGTTCAAAATCAATACTCTGCAGTCCTTCACTCAGAAAATGTGCAGACCCTTTGTCCTTTTCCTGACTATCTTGATGATGACAGAACCACGGTGACAGATGATTGCACTATGACAGTATCAAGCAGAAAAGCAACGGAGGGGAAATCCCCCCTATAAGAACGAGGAGGTCAATAAAAATATCTTTAATGAAAGCATGGTTGCTAAGTGTTTTGGATCTTGCTGGATAGTTCTAGGATTTGGGACATGGTCCTGCAGGACTCAGGACACTTGATGCCACTGCAGAACTGTTGGATGAAGTGATCTCCACCCAACAGTAGAAATCAAGTCCTGGCCTGATGGAAGAGAGAGGCAGCAGCGTGGCAGAATGTGATCAGATAAGGAAAACCACTGACCACTAATGAAAGTGGGGGAGTGGAGGGAATCATTTTTACTGGCACTGACCACTGCTGAAGGGGGGTTAATTATTACTACCACTGACCACCATTAAAAGGGGCTTGGGGGTGTTGATTATCACTGCCACTGACCATCACTGAAAGGGGTGTCAACACTGCCACTGACAAACAGCATTTAATTATTACTGCCACTGACCACCAGTGACATGGGAGGGGGGTATTTGTTACAACCACTGACCACTAATGAAAGAGGAGGTGGGGTTTTTTTATTACTGCCACTGGCCATCAATAAACCATGGTGGTTGGGGAGTTGTTACTGCTTGTGGCCACCAATGAAAGGGGAGTGTGAGGTTAATTATTTCTGACACTGACCACCAGTGAAAAGGGAGAGAGGCTTTAATATTATTGCCAGTGGCCAACATTGCTAGCATTTATTTTTGCTCCCACAAACACCAAATATGGGAATTACTTTTACTACCTCTAATACTAGCGATGGTAATGGGGCTTTTTTTCCTCATACTCTTCAGTGTACCCCCTAGTTTGTATAAAATCTAGCAAAGCAAGATGGGAAAGGTGCAACACTATAAGTCACCATGAAGTGAAGTGGGCCCACTAGGCAACTCTCGTTTCCTTCAAGGTGTTCCTCCTAATGTTAATAGCTATCAAATAAAAAAGCAATTGAGGGGAAAGCCCCCAACATGGTCATGTATATCAATAAAACACATTTTGTTAATAGAGTAAGGAAGGTTTAGAACTGTTGTCAGGATTTTATTGCTGAATGTGCCCCACAGGGAGATTTAGCAGCACTTCCTGACCAGATGATAGGTGTTAGAAAGTAGTGTATGAACTCAATTGAAAAAGAGGCAGCAATTTTCTAACCCTCTTTCACTGTCTTTGAAGCTAAAAATAAAATGTTTTGGATGGAGTTGGGCATTAGGAGCCATTTTTGAAGACTGGTATTGTGTTTTACTGGAACACTCTTGTTCTGTAGTACATTTGTGGACACGGAGGAAGATGCAAAAACTCACACTGTAGACTTGCATGTCAACAGCTGTGGGCTTCAGTCATGTCCTGGGCTGAATCACAGGTGGGCATTCTGTGTCTGCAGGACTTTATGGACCCATACCCTGAAAGTGGTCAAAACACATCTGTCCTTTACATACAATGATGTAATTGGTAGCACTGATATGATGACTCTGCATTATCAAAGATTGCTCACCTCCAAAAAAAGATATGAAAAGGAACCAGAACAACACATTGCCAGCATAAAGACTTCTGGAAAAAAAAAGAAGTATAAACAAAGCAACAATTAAACATGGGGCCTCCAGGATGGGAAGGGATGGCTGGAAGCTGAGAGGGTGAGCATGGAAATGAGCTTTAATTGTCAACAAATGTGCCTCCAGCAAAGCTTGATTGGCATCTAGTGCCACCCCTTCCCCTCTCCCAGTCTGAGCACTTCTTAACAGGGGACTATAGAAGACTGGTAGTAAATCAAATTCAGGTTTTTAAATTAGTGGCTTTTAAGAATACATTAAACATTTTTTGTTACTAAACTTACAGCTGCGTAAACGTTGTTGTAAATCCAAACAAAATCCCATATAAGCATCAAACATGTCATTTCAAAAGTAATTTTCAAAAGTAATTTTTTAATCGACTGCTTTCATTTCAATAATAGTGAATCCTGCCATGAAGGTCTTTGCTCAGGTGCTTCCTGTAACAGATTGACAATGCCAACTGCTATCATCCCAACTTTGCTATTGCACTGTAACGACATCAAAAGGGTTTCTGCTTCAGACTACAACTGGGTGTTTCAACACGTAGGTGTCATTTACTGTTGTCACCCATCCACGCCACACAGCCATCACTGACATACATGCAGTGGCTGCAAAGAGGCTGCAGGAGAACACCAGCACTGAGATGCAACGCAGGATGAAAACAGGTGAAAGTAATTATGTTATTAAGAACAAGCTTAGTGATATTTTATCATGTACCATGTTTTAATAAAACAAATATCATTCATTTAGTTTGCTTTTAATTTACAAG